TTAAATTACCAAGCCCATCCATTTGGCATATAGTAATGTGAACTAGAGGGTAAAATGGAACTAGTGGGTGTGAAATAATTTCCACTTGGTGTGAATGTACTCGGAAGTGTATTTGATGGAGGATATGTACCGGTTACAAGATCCGTAGGACATGGTTTTCCATCATGCACCAACATTTGCACTGGGATACGTTTTGATTGGGAGAAATTAACAGATGACATTGGCTGTACCAGATTACCATTTAATCCCTTATCCTGACAGGTTTTCTTTGTTTTGTACCTGAAAAATTGAAATGGAAATTTTTTGAAACTTTTAGAATTTGTTATCAATATATCTTTTGATTTGAATCCATCTAAATATGAAGTATTGTTTTTATAAATGAAGGGTCAAAGGGCATTAGATCTCAGATAAATTGAATGGCATTGGTCGTTTTCCGCAATAAAATGAATCAGGTCAAAGTAACACAATGAAATTTACCGTAGGATTCATAGAATGACTTCGCTAAAGCACAGGATTTTAACCTTTGAACCGTAATTATTTGATGCATAAAGTTTGGTAGGTACCTATGATTCTGGAACCAAATTTTCACTTGTGTAGGCGTTAACCGGATTTGGGTGGCAAGCTGCTCACGTTCAGGTGCCGAAAGATACCTCTGTATGCGAAATCTCCTTTCTAGTTCAAAGGTTTGCAATTTTGTGAATAAAATCCGTCTTTTGCGTCGTTTCTTTTTCCCTCTCTCTTCTATAGTAAATACAAAAATAGGAAAGATAGAGCAAAGCATTGACGACGAACTTTTTTGTTCGCAAGAAATCTTTTCGTTTGACAAAATAATCAAATCAATATAGTTTGTAATTGATCAGTTGAAGACAGCAAAATTCAAATTTAGAGCAAAATGTCCACCTTCATCCTCATTAACTGTTTCATTTTCGTTGAGGACATCAGTATTGTCTTCACTTACTCCTTTACTAAAACATAATGTTATTTAATCGTTTCAAGGATATACGTCATGTATATACGAATTTTTAGCGTTAATTTCTGAAATCTACGGTGTTATCCACTTCTTTATCACTTGCATTAATTACTTTTCCGATAAGGGCAAATTGTAAAAGAATTGAAGGGACTGATAGAATCGGTTAAAATTAAATCGGAATTTTCTTAATGTGAATTTTAGCATGCGAAAGTACCTGATTACTCTGGCACCGTTAATATCCTCCTCATTTTCTGATTTATTACAATGTGATGAAGTAGGGAGTACTGTTGGTTCCAAATTTTTTTCTATCTGATCACAACTGACAACTGGTGTGTTGATTGCTTCAAATCTAAATAATACTGCGACAAAAATTATCGTCTTGAGAATCCCAGAAAACCGCATAAAAATTTTCAGAATATTTGAAATGAGTCATTTACTTAGGAAAGTTCTTGTTGGAAGACAATTAAACTTAAAAGAAGCGGTAACAAACCCGAGAGGAGCAGCGGATGATGTACGATAAGATTGGTTTGTGTTGAATGAACTTTGATCATATATTGGGTAAGAAGTGATGCATGGTGAATATGATGCATCAAGTGTCGGTGAAACTCGGTGGTATCCTGAATAGTGGTAGTATTATGGATCCAGCAATTAAACATATCAGCAATCGTCAAATTTACAATATATCAGTTGAAAGGACATCTTATCCAATGTAAATAAAAAAAGTTTCGAATTTAAGTAATGGCGAACAAGTAGGTTTAACATGGCAGTGTTTGGCTGTGATATTGGAAAATCATTATGAAAGCGTCTTTCTTTACAAATTATAAATTTTTTGGCTAATCAGATACCAGTGGATAATCCGAAGTTAAAAAGAAAAGCTCACCGCCGAGCAATGGTAAGTGATCGGTCCATGTCTCCGACTCA